ATAATAATGATAATGATCATAATGGTAATGGTAATAATAATAATAATAACATGCGTAGCCGTAACATGAATGTTTCAATATTTCTCCTTGTACATAAACTAAATGTGTACTGTCCTGATTCTGTACAATCTGTTCGTATTCCTCCTTCCTGTACTGTACAATTAGATCTATCTGGTCCTGCAGGGAGAGCAGGTAGAGTACAGCTTCCTCTCTAGTCACACCAGACATATCCATGTCATTCACCTAGACAAACAAAATTTAAAATTTCAAGTTCATTAATAATTATATAATTCAGGTGTCAAATTCTATATTTAACGCATTTAATGAGAAAAAAGAATTTGTATGAATTTCTCAGTAAAGAATTGTTACAATCGTATCAAGTTCATTTCTGGTTTAGCCTGAACCCCTTTTTTATCGCGAACACTTTCTTTAAGTAGAACAAAAGCGACATACACATTTTTTCATTTTAAAGACAATTTTACAAATTGGATATTACTAGTTTATTTCTAATGTGTTTGTGGTTTAAAACATAATGCATATTGTCCTAAATCCTCCATTGTTCATGTTTACGGCTGAAATCCTTCGTACATATATACTTGTCATTTAGTGCGAAGGGGGAGGGGGGTTTCCTCCATATATTGTGAACTTTTATGTCATGTTAAATTTATCCAATTGCATTTCAAATTCATTCAATGCCGGCTTTTTGTCGAGGTTTAGACTGAACTAATCAATCTTATATTTAAGATTTGGATTGATAACATGCAAAAACCTTGCATTCAGACAACCCAGGGTGCATTTAATAAAATTTTGCAATACTAAATGAGAAATTATGGGCTGTGAATGCCACAGAAAGAAAAGATATTCAAATTCAAGATACAAGATACAAAATACAAGATACAATATGCAATTTACAAGATACAAAATACAATGTACAGTAAAAGATACAAGATACAATATGCAAGATACAAGATTCACAATGATAATAAAGGAAAGAATCGATTTTGAAGAAGAAACAAATTGTAAAAATTACGATGTTGTTTTATGCACAGTTGAAGTCTCTTGAAATAAATCCCAAAAATACCTTTATTATTTTATCTCCTGGCTGTAACCCCTGCTGTGCAGCTGGACTACCCGGCTGTACAGCTGTTACAAATATACCGCTGTCATTACCCCCTAAACATCAAACTGTTAAATTAAGATTAAACTCAAGAAATATAAATATGATAGGATCTAATAAACTTTTGATAGCATATGTATGTATCTAATAAATCTTAAAAATTATCTTATAAAATTTGACTGAGTCTCATAATAATTTGATAGAGTCTCAAACCCGTTGAAGATGCTTTGGAAAAATCGTTTCACAACTTTTAGAATCAAGAAAGTAATGAATGATAGTATTGGGTAATTTGTGTGTCAGGGAGTGAACTGAGAATGTATGGTAGTTGAACTGAGAATGTAGTTTAGTAAAAAAAAATGTATGGGTTCGTTTGAGACATTTTTTTTTACAGTGCATATTAATTCAAGAGTGCAAATTCAGTTTTTAAAATCCTCCTTCATTGTCCATTCTGGAGAGATTATTTTGAGAATCGGTTTTTTTAAAATTATTCAATAACAACGAAAAAAATGTAACAAAAATTGTAAAGTAAACTAATTAGATGTTTAGGAACATATTTTTCAATTGAAATTTGTCAATAAATCAATACTAGAATCAGTTATTTCCTTTTCATCATTATATTGAATTTATTATCCTTTACAAATTTGTTCGCAAATTTCTTTAAATTCTTCAAATCTTGTATTTTTAATAAAATTGCAGGAAGTCTAAAGAAAATTCTTGTGAACCAATGAGACTTTACAAAGCTAATAACTGAACAAAATTATTTATTTTGATGATAATAATTGAATTTCATTTTCTCAATCTTTTCCTAAATTTTTTACTTCCTCAATCTGTTCCTGAAACACTTATTAGTTTACTATAGAATTTTGCTGAACTTATATTGATCGCCATTGAATAATTTTTGAAAAATCCGATTCTTAAAATCAGACCTCCAAAATAAGCAATCTATGAGGATTTTAAAGGTTGAATTTGCGCTATTTCTGAACAAATATACATATTGAAAACGTCTGATAGATCTCAAATGCTAAACCATTTTCAGTTTGACTACCGTACATTGCCGGTTACTCCCTTTGCGAGCTAGAACATAATTCGATTTCTTCCGAAGAATTGGTTTCAGAATTATCTACAGTTTTGATTCACGCGGAGATAAAGTTGTCATGGTGAATAGAAATGGATATTTATTAGGACATTGTGTAACATTTGGAGTAAGTTTCTTTTCTTAGATTGCCATACTGAAATAACAGAAGAAATTCTACCATTGAAAAAATAATTTAATTAGAAATATAATTTTGATTGACACAGAGAAAACTGTTGTCACACAAGGAATAAATTGTTATTTTACAAGAACAAATCATAACAGACATATAACAATGTGTTATATTTGGAGTAAGTTTCTTAACTAATATGACGGAGGTGGAGCGGGGGGGGGGAATGCGTAAAAAAATATAGTACCTGTAAGACGAATCCCGACTGACCCATCTTTCTGGAAGCTTATAAATCTCGGGTCAGGTCTAAAAAGATATATTTTGTTTAACTTGCTTACATTCTAACTTTTATAAATTACTTACAAGTTAGTTTTTGATTTAGATGAGTGAGATGCGTCATCCTTATTCCTCGGTGTTATCCCGTAATCCACTAAAAAAAAGAAAGTGTAAAAATTTGGCGGATTTTCTGATTTTGATAAATAGAATTGTTAGTATATCATTGTTAGTTAGTTAGCGACGTGACAAAACAGTGCGGAAATGCTGCAAATCATGCCCCGTGCAAAATTCATTGTTGCAATTCTCACAAAAAAGGGGACGCTTAAATTTAGTAAAAAGAAAACTACATACCATATGCTTGTCTAAAATCCACGTAAATATGTTGGGTAATTACAGTGTGTCCCAAATCCCAATAAACATGGAGTCTCTTTGTAAATGATTTTTGATTTTATGATGCCTAGTTGGAAAGCTGTAATTTGTAGGATATTTAATTTACTAGATCTTTGAATTTGTTTGTTTTTATCATGATTGCGCTTCCTATACAAATAAAGTGCAGACACATAATTCAGTTTTGCAGAGAAACTCTGGCAGCCTTTTATACTTATGTAGTACAATGCATGCTAATTCTTGACGAAGACGATCTCAAAGTCGTCACTGAATCCCTATATTTATTTGAACCTACTGGACGAAAAAGTAAATTAAAGAGCCTTTAAAGATAATTTCAAGTGACGTTTCAATTTAAGAGTTGTATGCTCGATTCACAACGATACTCTTAAGCTTTTATCTGATCAACCATAAGGAACATTTCATTGTTTTCCAATCTACAAGTTTGGAATTCTGCCAATTTTCTTTTAAGTTTCGGAAACATAATTCCCAAGTTACTTTAATAACGAATTGAAAATTATCAATTTTCAGATGGAAGAACCAGGAAATCTTCATCATTTTTGCTCCGACATAGGCTTAAAGGGAACTATTCAAAATTAAATGAAGGACCACTTGAAATTACGTTGACAGACCCTTTAAGTGTATAATGAACCTGGGACCATGTTGAAATTACGTTGACAGTC